GCCATGGTTGGTGGTCAAGAAACCAAGGATACAGTCTAATTTTCTAAAAGGCATTACTTATCATTATTCCAATAAAAATAGCAAAAGACAAAAAGACAGAGACTATAAATCAGCTAATAAATGTTCCCCTCATCAAGCTGATTGACAGGATTTACTGCCTGTCCTTCACTTCTCCTGCGTCCATTATTGCTATTGATTGCTGTCAGTTTGCTTACAGCATGAGCCGGAGTCTTCTGGCCTTGGGGTGGTAGTTTCAGTGTGTTTTGTTCCACCTGTGTGATGTGACTTCTCATGGATCAATAACACCTTGTCAACGACTAACACTTTGCTTGAGTGAGCATCTTTACTGAAAGTGGCATTTTGTGAAACTGTTTTGTGTTAAAAAAAAATTCTGCTCTCTGAGTTGCTTGTACTTGTACCTTGAATGCCTGCTGAACTAAGACAATCAATTTATGGTGAAGTTTGAACTGCAAAGGATCGTTTGTCCACATTATTGTCTGACAATTTTTGGACTAAATGTTTATTCAAATGTCATTCATGATAATAATCCATAGTTGCAGCCTTCATTATGTTACTGATGAGACCAAGAGTAGTATTCCACACAGGGATGGCACATAAAAGGTGTTGCTGACCTTGATGGTATGCAATCATTTAACTGTGGCTGCTGCTTCTTTTATCCTTCTTACTTCTTTTTTTAGCTTTTGTAGCTCATTAACCTTAAAGTAAAGTTTTGGACACAGTTTGACATTCGGTATTTGTAGAAAATGCACTCTTCTTGTGTCCACTTTAGTCTGAAAATCCAGCGACATTCATCTTCAAACAAATAAGTAATATTTTCCTGTGAGGTCAGGTTGGTGTGAGAGAATGAAGGTAGGGAGACTGAGGCTGCTAAGCAACAATCATGCAAAACACATTTGGAGGTCATTACTGAGCCATGCTGAGTGACTCCTACAGGCTGAAACGCTGCTTACTGTTTAAAGTGGATTTGATGAAAGCCTTCATTCAGTTCAGCTCATTAGTTTGAGCATTGGATAGTACACATTCTGAGATTACTCACTGTGGACCTGCGCGGAGGTGCCAATGCCAGGAGGTTTTTTTTTTTATTGATTTCTATGTAAATCACTCACACAAAGCAGAAATCCCAATGTGTTCAGAAAGCAGAGCATATGTCGACAATATCAGCCTTCTGTTTGAGAAAAAATACATGGACACAATGTTCTTAAGTATATGGAAATACATTTAGGAACCAGCATGGTATACTCTGAAACTTTAAATTTATTTTGCCGCACCTCTTAAAATTCTAAGAAACTCTGTGTAGTGAATCTAAATGCTTTTCCAGTACGGAAAAACCAAAAGCAGGAACAAGCATGAGCAATTTTCTGTTACTGTGAAAAACACTGCGGTCCGTTTTGAACCCAGAAGAGGAACTCATGTGAACTGGAAATAATACAGAACAAATACATTTAATACAGAGCAAAAGCAGAAAGAAAGCCCATTCTCAAACTTAGGGTTTATCAAAACCCACAATTTAATTCAACATCAATGAATGCCTCCCTGCTACAAGACAATAGATCATTCTGTTTCTTAGTACTTTGTCTATCAGTCTCTTTTTTCACAATGATGGTATTATTATTATATATTATACTCAATCCTTATAGGTAAAGTTTCTTTTAACTTTCCTACAGGGAGGGCAGAGGAGATTAGACTGAGCGTTTCAGTGCCTTCCTCAAAGACACCTCATCTGGACTGATGTTTGCCAACACGCTTAAAGGCTGTCTCTGTTCTGACATTGGTCCCCTGCTGCCTATATATGGTCATTGTAGGGAAACTATGCCTTAACAAATGACAGCAGTGTTGTTTCCCCCAGTTACTATTAATGGGCACAAAAAGCCTAAAACCAAATGTATTTACTAAAGTCAGAAGCTATTAAGGTCCGCTCAACAGCAGGTTTCTCGTAATTTCCCAGAAATCAAGGGCTCTCGATGTTTCTGAAAATCCATTAAAGCTGTTTACAGCTGTTTACAGCAAAGTCTGGATGCACCGAGTTATTTTGTGATGCATTCTCTTCATTCCTGTAGATAAATGGACAAAGAGAGACACGTGAAATCATCAGGTTCAGATATATCCAGGCAAACTACAGTAGATTTCCAAAGCAAAAAATGATTGTTCATCTCAAATGTCACATGCATTATAGATATAGTTTCTTTCATGTTAAACCAAAAGGTCCCGTCTTCTATAGTTGGGACTGCTGAAAAACACACAAGGAGATGTATGAACATCTAGGAAATCACCAAAAGAAGATGAGTAGGCGGGGAAAGTAAACAACTCTTCATTGCAATTTTCTAAAACTGAATGCATTCAAAATCAAGTGGAAGACTATGTGAGGGTATATTATCTTCACTGAAAGTCACTCGGCAGGGTCGACATTTAGCTGAAGCTCTTATCTAAATGTTAAAGATTGGAGCCATATTTCTCCTCTGCTCTCATCTCCTTGCAGCCTTGCAGCCCATGTTCGAGGGCATTCATGTGCACGGAGGGATGCAGGCTTTTGCCAACGTGACCCTGGGCCCTTATAGACGGAAGACAGAGCAGGCTCCTGTCTGACTCAGCTCAGGTCCACGCAATGGGCTGTCAAAGCCTATCATCATCATACACTCCTGCAATCAATACCTTACAGCCTCCTGACAGAGTGTGTTAGCGCAACACACTCCTCTTTCTCTCCTAGTCTCAACCGGAAAAAGCCACAGAGAAAGAAAGCAAAAAATGTGTTTTTAGTGACGATGTACATATTTTTATCTATTTCTCGTTTTTTTGACATTATGTTTGCTACAGTGTATTGGATTTTAAATAGACTCCGGGTGTTGGGTACTGTTCAATTAATTTATTCCATAAATTCCCACCATTTAGAATTAAACCATTTTTTCTATTAAAGAATAGAAAAAAATGCCTTTCAAAGATGGAACATTTATTTTCTCTCATTAGCTAGAGTGGCTAGCAAGGGTATTTTGGAAATTCTTTGGAAGTTCTTGCAGCAATTCTTGCACAGGTCATGATTTATAACTTGGAAATTGAATGCTTGAGGCTTTCCAAATAGTTTTGAAATACAGCTCAATTTAAGAAACACCGGCATAGACTGTATATATATATATGATCCATATTATGCTAAGCTGCAAATATGCCCACCCTTTAACGCTCTAGATCATTTTTGTTGCTTATTTTCAGTTACATATTTCTCTCATTCACTAAAAAGCACCAAACAATGCCAGAAAAAGCCAAATCAAGTTATTATGAATGATGTATAAGTTGTTGAAACCATCCTGCCAGGGTCAAGCTCACCAAATCAGTTTTAAATCCCAGTTTTCATTTGAAAGTGTTGGCATCTCCATCTCTGCAGAGACCACTGGAGCAGAGTTGAGCCCTCACAACTCTATTGATTCTTTTCACAAAGAGTTGGAAGTTGGGCAAACACATCTGGGCAAAGCCGGACTTTGGGTGATCAATGTATAATACCTGAGGGAGATAAGATCTTGATTTTTAGAAGATGTGAACATTTGTCCATTTTGTATATTAACAATGTGTAAAGCTGCATAATGGAAAGACAGATTAAACCCCACCTCATGCTTCTTCTCTACCAAAGTATTATTGAACCCATCCTCCTCTACTGCACCACGTGCTATTTCACCATGCTCCCACTCGCCAAGAGAAACAAGCATCTGAAACTCATATCTTCCAAAATAATTGGTCTCTCCGCTCCCAACCTGCCAGCCCTCATTGACACTGCCAAAACTCGCAGAGTAGCACACGACCCATGCCACCCCCTCGACCCATGCTTCACCCTCCTCCCCTCTAGCCGCAGATATATACAACCAATCTCCAAATAGTTTCTTACCCTCAGCTATAATCACTTTAAAAAACCTGGGCACGCTGTAATAGCCTTGTGTTGTGACTTTCTTGTTTGTTTGTACCTTTTTTGAATGTTGTTATTGTGTACAATAATAGTGAGTGTGAAAACATGTTTCCTCGAAAAAGGACAATAAACAATGAACCTGAATCTGAATAGAAAAAGGTCCTATAAGCTTTTACTGGAGCTACATGGATCCACCAATAACAGTACATGTTTAAAAGTTATTGCTAAAATAAGTGGGGGGAAAAGACCTTTGACCTACAGTACAAAATGTTTGCAGGGTCTTAATATGTATGAAGCAATCTAAAGGACGATCATGAAAGTTGATGGGTGTAGTCTAGTCTAAATCGCCATGGCTGTTGCAATAGCAACTGCTTGCATTCCTTCAAACACACACCCACGCGCAAACACACACAGACACACACACACACACACAGTTAGACAACACACACTTGCAAAATCAATAATCTTCAGTCCCGCTTGACAAACAAACACACCAGAGCTTCTCTGTGGTACGAGGGTTTTCCATCCTGCCAAGTCTCAGTCTGAAACTTGTGTACAAAATTGAATCAAGTTTAATCTCTCTCTTTTTTTTTTTTCGATGTCTGAAGTCCAAGAGTTTGCTTGCACTGGGCCTTCATATGGTGCCAGACATCAGCCATCTCAAACAAACTGAATGTAGTGCATGAATATAGTGCAGATATGCTGTATTCACTGCAAATCTTTGCAACACCAATTATCTTTAAACTACATAAAGTGTGTGTGGTTCAATCCTAAAACAAATGTCTGTGGTCAATTATTAAAAAGTATTGAAATATATACATACATACATTTGTATTCAGGTGCACACCACAATTTAGCACTTCAACATATATAGTTAAAAAGCTGCCATCTATTAAGAAAATTCAGAGTTTACCATAATGTAATAATCATATTGCCTCAGGCACAAGCAAGTTCTTCGAGCCAAAAATGTCAAAATAAAAGAAAGGCTTATTGACACACCAAGCACAGCTGTGCACAATAAAGTTAAGGCTACCAAGGTGAATATACAGTATATTATTTTTCATTTCACAATAAAAACAAACATTTGACTCACTTATGTTAACGTCCAGACAGAAGGGGTCCATCTTGCGCTACCTCTGGCAGACAGACAGATCCACAGATTTATGTCTTCCCTTGTCAGGTGCAACTTGCCCTGGAGATCAGACGAGGTCTATCTCAGACTGCTCTCCCACCACAAACTCTTTTTCTTCTTTCTGGCCAGCTCACTTACAAAGAATGGACAGTCCCCTGTTGCAGATCAATCTGTTGAGAGCTCCCCATTCTGGGCATTGGGAAATCCTGTCTTTCTTTAGTTCTAAGGCAATCGAAAGAGAGCAGTGCATGGCTGAACTCCTAAACAGGACTTTCTCATGCCGCTGGTACCTTCCAGGACAATGCCACTGCTGGTAGGGGTTTGTTTATGGTTGTTTTTACTATTTTAGGGGATTCAACACCACTTTGTTTCATGGCTGTGATTTGCAGGGTATCATTCAAGAGCAGGAATATGAATATTATCGAGGCTTTACACACAGGTAGCAGATGCAATATTAACCTAAGTAGAGCATAAATCCTGTATGCTGTATGGTTCATTTTTAGTTTCTCTTGTACAGCAACAGCAGGAAATAGTTCTAATAATAAGTACTATACAGATGTGATCATTATCCCAATTAAATTAAATTACAGGTAGACATCCCATCTTCAGATCAGAGCAGCATCAAACCAATAGACATTCATTAAAGGCACACACTGTATGTAATACTGCTGTCAAACCACCTCAGCAAAAATAAAAAGGTTAAAAATAGTGGTGGTGCAACAACCATATGTCACATCAGTGAAACATTACAGCCTCTCTTGGAACTGCCCCTGTTCCTGCAGCATCACATCCATTTTTATATTATTAAATTGCTAATAATATCTTCCACATTAAGCAGCTAATACTGAAAAAAAGTCAACTGTCAGTGTGTTGAGCCGCTGGACAGGACATTATTCAGAAAAATTTGCAGACTAGGAAAGATATATAACATTGTTCCATCACAGACGCTGTGACATGAGGCCATGGACAAAGATGAACCTATTTGATATTTAGACGTCTCAGGGTTAGTGGTTAAGACTCTGGACTGTAATAGTCCAATTCAGTGAGTTTATAATGTCTTTTTGGAACTCATGTTGATTGCTATACTGTTTTCATTTTCAGAGCAATTTCATTTTCTGTATTGAGGGAGAATTTTTCACCCTCCCGATGGAGAGAGAAATTTGTTTCCATAACTTGTTTTCGCAAAGGGCAAACATATTTCCTTGGTTCGGTCAAGCTAACCTTTTGGTCACAACCATTTCCTGACCAATTATCTTTGTAATGGACTTGTATTGCTAATATGACATATTTGTAATTGCAAAATGCATGCTATTAAAAAAAAAAAAAAACAGTGAACCAGAAAATATGTTGCAAACAAAACTGGGATTACTGGGATTTTACATCCACATCCAAATGTTCTCTTGTTTGTTTCACAGTTTACACGGAGTAAGGTCCTCACACGTCTGTTGTTGCAAATATATGGCATGTGAGAACACCCAAATAATTCCGACTTTATCCAGTAATACTATTTCTAGGACATCCAACAATGTGTCACATGAACATTGTGCCACAGGCTCATTTCACATCCATGCTGGCTATGGCGTATTGGCAAACCAAAAAGGCTCATGAAAACGCACAACATAAAAAAAACAAACAGCTAGAAATGAGACCATGTATTCTGCAGCCTGAAATTTCTACCAGGGTGAACATGCTGTCTTAAACAATCTTTTTTTGCATCATAGGACAGATCTCTAGGACACATAAGGAACGAGGAAAAGAACTAGCTCAGAGTCAAATGCAAATGGGTCGTGAAAATCCTCATGTTACCATAACTGTCATATTCACATTTGGAATTGTATTTCTGACACTGATTGTCTGGACTATCAGCATAATTACTTGGTCTTCTTTGTTATCAGGCTCATGGGACCTCATGCATGAACCACTTGTATGAACAGATTTGTTCTTAAGCGGCACATATTGATTTAAGAGGATTTATGGCGTTCACCAATTTTCACAATCTTTGAAGGTATGAACGAAATTTACAAGTGGTCCAGATCTGTTGTACGAGTCAAGTACAGATAGTCTGTCTTTCTCTATAGAGAAAAAAAAAAGCGTCATCATCAATCATAATGCCATAATCTGGATGAATTTGGAGTTTAAATATGATACAGAAGGTAAAGTTACAATAAATGAGCTATTTCTCAATGTTTCAATGGTAAGTTCATTCAGAATTACTTATCAGCTGCTTCAATATAGATTTTGAGCTGCTATTATAGCAGCAGTAGATGCTTTATACATATTAAGTTCTGACATGTTGTGTGCTAGCATTTGAAAATAACGCAAAAAACATTATGATACAACGATATGGTATTGGCTAAGCTTTTACGTAAAGAAAAACTTGAACAGAAAATGACTGCATATTTTGTGCAGACAACATGAATTGTGTTAATGGTATGGTATGAACAGACCGATGTTGTGCCAATTGTGTTTAGAGTTTTGAAAATGCGACTACAGATTGGACAAAATGACGTCAGCAGTTAAGTTTAACTTAAATAATATTATTTTCATCATATCATCTACATCATCATGGCTTGCCAATTTACTGATTTTACTGGCTTATTTCGGCACAGCCATTTAAACATTTCAGTAGATTGGAAAATTATCTCACTCCGACAGCTGTCCCAGGGTCTTTTTTTAGAATAGTGTCTATAGCCAGTTCTCCATTTACCCCATGAGGTGAATTACCATAAAATTACCATTAACACCAAGTACAGTGATTCAGAATACCACAATCCACACACAAACCTGTTACCTACATTATGCCATTCCATGAGTGACGCGTTTAAACATTTCCATACCTATACCGCCCACATCCTAACCCCCTGTTTGACCTGGAGGTCACAACCCCTTCACACCAGCACTGGGAAAATATTTCCTTCCTGATTCAACACACCACACTGAGCTGTGTGGGACAGACTGGCTATGGATTGCAGTGGCTGCAGAAAGAAAGACATGGTGTGAGAAACAAAGTAGACAAGAAAAGAATAAAGGGAAAATGCAGGCTGGCTGGTGGCTGGCTGGTGGGTTTATGTGTGCCAAGGGGGAGGGGCGCTTGGGGCAAGCCAGGCCTCTTCACGTCTATCATCTTAAAAGGCAGGGTTAGTATGTGGGTCCATCCTGCTTTAATTAGAACTTCTGGCCTAAAGGGGAACTCGACCACCGCTCAGGGCTCGGGCAGGACATACACCACATGTGCAACTGGGGGAGGGTGGAAGTAGGCGATTGGGGTGGGATGGGGACTGCTGGGCGGGGGGAGGACATTTGAGACTGTTTAAACAAATCAGTGAAGAATATCAGTCACTGAGGACCCTGTGTGGTTTGTTCCCCTGCTGCAGAGGCATTTGTCTCCCCTTGAGAGACCATTTTGTCATCAGTAGAAAGAAAGAAAGTGAGAGAGAGAGATGTTTCTAAATGCAAGAAGAGGGAAAGTACCTGCATGAGTGCTCCAAGCATAAAAGCATTCTGGCAAATGATGGCTGGCATTTAAGTCGAATGCAGCTAATAAGCTATCGGCTGTCTGCAGGACCTTTGACCCATGTGCGAGTGCACGGCTATGTGGAGCTGTGTCCAGCAGACAAGCACGTGTAAAACCCAGATGGTCAGATGTAATAAACATGGTCAGTGTTTTTGGCTCACATAAAGGGTATGGCGCTGGTGTTTTATTTCGTCAGGGCCTCAGGGCATGAATGTGTTCACCCAGGCTCTCAAGTGGGCTTTACGAGGGTGGAGAGGGAAGCCTGTTTCCACCTTGTGTGAAATGCTTTTTCTTTCTTGCTATGGGGCGTGGCAATGGGGAGGTGCTGGAATAACAGAGGCCATAGGGAGCAGGGAGGGAATTCAGGTGGCCTCCCATTGGCGCCGGATGTTTTAGTAAGACAACATGGCGGAGAGGGCCTTGTGACAGAGGTCTGTTCCGAAGCTCCGTCAAGCAGGCTGCACTGTGAAGCGAGCAACCACATCTGTTTTTACTTAAAACAATCAGGGGCCGGCACTGCAGGCAGCTTGAGCCTGTTATTAAAGGCTTTCTGGGGCCTGCTGAGGGACGGCCCAGACGGAGTGATTTATCCACTCTTTGCTGAGTGGATGAGGATCTAGAGTGATGTATATGGACATGGAATTCCAATCAGTCATCCTTGCCAGGACACCTACCCAGAAGCACTGATGAATCTAGGCTGTTTTCAGCAACAGGATGAAACTGTGGCCCACATTCCGTCCTTACCCATAGAGTCTTACATCATTTTAATCCAATGACATCAAGGCTAACACAGTGGTGAATCTGTAATTAGCGTTCAACTGCCATGCCTTTTTTCTGTTAAAAACCAACTGTGCATGTTGAAATGATAAGTTCTAAACTTTTCAGACAGTGCCAGCTACATGATCTCATGTGTATAAATCAACAATCTAATATGCATAGGGGTGGTTTACTCAGCAATCTGAATTCTGAGCTTCATCAAACAGGCTTGAATCATCAGATCATTTTTCGCTGAGGGCACACTTGCAGAGTCGATTATCTTCCAGGCATGGGGCCTTAGAGTAGATGGGTAAAACTCATGGAGACATAAAAAGACAAACTCTGAGTACTTCTTTGGGGCGCTGCCTTGTTCCTCTGAACAGCAAAGCGAGCTTTTAAATAATTTGGGGAGAGCCCTTTGGAAGCTGAATAATTCACTGCAGCGTGATGAAGTCTCTAGCCAGCTGGGTGTTCCATTAGTAGACTCACTACTCTACAGCTCTATTGCCTAGCAGGCCAGCGGAGGGAAGGAGAGCTGGGGAGATGAGTATGTCTTTGTGAGGGGGATCATCCCGTCCTCACCCTGCCCACTTCAATTACATCAGCCACAGGCTCTCTGAAAAGAGAATCAGGCAGCGTCTGCCTGTTTTGCTTCATCTGAGCCTTCATCCGCCACGCCCAACACGTGATGGCCACTCAGTTATTGCAACGCAACCTGAAAGGACCCCAGTGCTGGACATCTGATGGGAAGGGGAAAGAAGGACAAGCGTGTCTTCTGTGAGTGTTTGACCGTGCAAACTCTTGACATCTAATTCCTTCTGCCATGTGACCTAAATATGCAGTTTTAGGTCTAAACTGCTGCCGAAGTGAATGACCCTGTTCATGTCCAGATGGCTTCCATCACTGGGCAGTTTTCTCCAGGACAGGCTGGTGAAAAACGCTGGCCTGCTGTGGCACCATTGCCAGTTTAGCTCATATAAGCTCCCCTGGCAGAAGAAGCAATGAAAC